GGAGACAAGATAATAGGGCCAGTGGCTTTTAGAATTGCTTGATAAAAGAGATAATCTTTAGGCAAGTAGGGATGAGTAAAGTGATTTTTCGTATAAATTTTAGTAAGTTCATGAGGCGCCATATTACTTTGTTCTTGAGTAATTGGCGCAAGAAAAATATGATTCGGTGTTATTAATGGAAGACCATCTTCATGAGTTCCTAGGACGCTGTTTTCATAAGCATCAGCTCTTGGTTTATCTGGATTTTGAGACAAGGATGAAGAAGCTTCAATTCTTCTTTTGGAGCTCATCTTTTGGTAATGTTCCTGTAAGAAATTCTCGTGTTAGAAAATCTGGGAGAGAATTATTTTCTCCTTTGATAAATTCAATATCAAAATCAAATACTGATAAAATTGCTTGCCATCGAGCAAAGATTTGCTTGGAGGCAATATTTTTTACATCTTTCAGTAAAATTTCTTTTGCGCTTTTACAATCTACTCTAATCAAAAACTTTTGATTGAGTAGATCAGATTTGAATTTCTAAACACAAAGAACTATGGACAAGATTTCTTTTTTGACAGTAGAATAATTAACTCGAGGTCCTGTCCATATACCACTAGTAAAGCGTACTAGTGTTTCTTTATTATTTATTCTTTGTTTAAGAATTCCTCCATAACCTTTATCAGAAGCATCGGTTTCGACTATTTTAAAGGCTTCTGGATGAGGAATTGCTAAGCACGGTAAAGTTTTGACACGCGCTTTTATTCGTTTAACAGCTAGAGTATGTTCATGACTCCATGCTGGCGGATTCTTTTTTAATCGTTCAAATAATGGCTTTGCATCTTGAGCTAATTCTTTATAAAATTCAGAGACATAATTCAAACTTCCTAAGAATCGTTGTAATTGAGTTTTATCAGTAATCACATCAGGAAATTTATTTGCAAACTCAATTGCTCTGTCTATAGGGAGGATTGTATTATTTTCTATCATGTGTCAAAGAAATCTAATTCTTGTTTGGAAAAGTTTTATTTTCTTGGCGGATACTACGAGTCCATTAACTTTGACTATTTTCATAAAAATTCTGAGAAGCTTCAGATGTTGATCTATGGACTTAGAAAAAAATTAAAACATCATCTATATAAATAATGGAAAAGGTTGTATAGGGTGTGAAGATGTCATTCATGATCTTCTGAAATTCTGAAGGGGCATTTTTTAGCCCAAATGGCATCACATTCCATTCGTAGTGGCCAAATGGAACGGTAAAGGTCGTTTTATATCTATCTTCCTCAGCTATTTGTATCTGCCAATAACCAAATTTCATATCAAATTTGGAAAAAATGTTGGCTTCATAAAGTCTATTTAATAGGTCTCTTTTATTAGGAAGAGGATATCTAATCCATCGTAAAGCCTTATTTAAAGGCTTATAATTAATGACTAACCTAGGGACTCCTCTTTCTAATTCTGCATTATTTTCAACGTAAAAAGCAGCACAGCTCCAAGGGCTATGGCTTTTACGAATTAGACCTTTAGCTTTTAATTCCGCAATTTCTTTTTTGCATATTTCTAAATGCCTAGGCCCCATAGCAATGAGCCAAGCTTTTGTTGGTATCATTTTTTCATTGAAATCAGGTTCATAGGGTAGAGAAACAACATGTCTTTTTCTGGCCCAAAATGCCGTTGGGCTTTTCTGAGCATATTGTGGATTCTATTTCATGTTGTATTGCCTTTACTTGTAATTGTACCTTTTCATTACTTAATTGTTCTTGAATTCCTTTGATTAGAACTTCTTTCTTTAAGGAATTGATAAATTTATCTTTAGACTTAATCGTCTGTCTAATTACATCTATATTCTTGATGCGTGGTTGTGAAATAAAGTGAAAGGTAAGTTCTTTACCTTCTATTTCTATAGTAATACCTTGTTCCGATATATTCGTAATCAGATACAACATATCTAAGAATGGATTGCCTAGTATAACTGGATGTGACAATCCTTTCACAAGAATAAATGGAATCTGAAAACAAATCCCATTATTGCATACAGCTGTATTCTTAAGCTTGTATTGGACTTTTAATTTACTACCATCAGCCGTATTTAACTTTTCGACGGTCTTTGTAAAGTATCTAGAAGGAACTAATCCTTCATTGATACAATTCAAATCTGCACTAGAATCAATTAAAGCAATGGTATAAAAAATATATTCTTTCTGCACAACTATGGTCACTTTAGTGTGCCATTTTTGAGTTATAACTTTATCTACTAGATTCACAAAATGTAAATTATTTATTTCTAAATGATCCTGTTCTTGTTCTTGAGGATCATATTCTTCATTGGCTAATTCTAGTAAAACGACACGTTCTTTCAATTGACTCATTTCTTGCTTGAGATGGTTTATTTCAGCTTTTAATTCTTTAAGCGTTGGTTCTCTTTGTGTTTTTGTAATTTTTATTCTTTCAAAAATTTCATGAATGTCATATTGACTTGGGTTTTCTTCAAGTTTCTTTTGAAGAGGCGCTTTTGAACTGCTTGGCTTTTCATTATTCATTTCAAGATACATTTCTAATTGAGCTCTTTTTTCTTCAGGGTTAGGTATCTTGTCTATTAAATCTAGAATTAAATTATCCTTTTTAGTAAGGACACATAAACCGTTCATCGTACAAAGTGATTTATAATAATCACAATTGCCATCGCAATCCGACTGGTCTTTAGAAGAATGTACTTCTTCTAGATCGGATGATTCAGATGTATAATCTAAAACATTTAATTCTATATCTTCTTTTTCCGAATCTGTTTCGGACAGGAATAGTTTTGCTAAAGAATATTTTAGATCATCATCTATTGTTAATGCCTGTATTTGTTGCTTCATTTTGCACTTATTAGCATAATGGCCAATACGACCACACTTATAACAGGCTATTGTAGCTTTCTTTTTACCCTTTCGTTCTTTAGGGCGCTTATGTTTTCTTGGTTGTTTGGGTTCTTGTTCATATTTATTAGTTTTCCTGTACTTCCTATAAGCATATTTAGACCTTTTTTTTGCTTATCTTTCTTTCTTGATGAATGACCTAAGGATGGATATCCAAACTGTTCACAAAAATCTCCTAATATTCTTTTCCCTGTCATTCGTTCCTTCTTCATTTGCCTATGTATTTTTAACTCATTGCATAAGGTAATACCTTCAGTAACTACTTCAGAAGCTAATTCCCCATACATATAGAGATGATAGGGAATAATTCCATCATGTCTACCCTTTATTCTATTTCGAACCCTCTCAGCAAATAATGAAGGCAAACCTGAAATAAATTTTTCTTTCCAAAAATCATGCTGACTGTCTTCTCTAGCAAACACAGCAGTGAAAAAGACATCTTTATACCATCTAAAGTGAGATAAATCTGGACACCTAAGATTGATTAATTGTTCATGGGATCTATCTAGGTGCATACTAGTAGCTCCAATAAAATGTAATCCTATGGTATGAAGTAAAGTATTCACTGAGTCAGTAATTTGAAGAATAGTTGGTTGATTATTTTCGCCTATTCTTGACTCTTATTTCATAGCATTTTCTATTTGTTCTTTCCCTTCCTTCGTTAGGGAAAAAGCCCACCAACCTTTAAGTTGGCCTACAAAGCCTGCTACAATGGCTTTTCTAATGCTTTGATCTGAATTTCCTTTGACGACACATGCTGTAGCATACATAGTCATATATTGGAGGACATTCTTTATCTGATACTCAAATAGTCCATCAATATTCCATTCAACTATGGAGGTGCCATCATACTGAACATAATTAAATGTATCAGCTTCATATTGCATATTCACAGGAAATGGCCTCGGATAGTAAGGTTTAATTTCTACCATTCCTCTTGGTTTTGGATAAGATATTTTATTAATGGTAGAAGCTTCTTTTTGAAACATTTGTTCTAAATTATTGATGTGCTCTTTATCTTTAGCACTTTCTTCTTCTTCTGGTGATTCTTTATCAGATTCTGTTGCTATAGTAAGTGGTGCAATAGCTTTCTGTTTTTTATCCACATCTAATTTGGCTAATCGCTTGGTAATTTCGTCGATTAGCTCACTATTATCATTCTTGTGATCTTGATGATGATGCTTGTGATTGTGATGTATATATATGCCGATTTTTTAAGGTGGAAAAAATTATGGTTTTTAATATTATTAAATTATTATTTTTTTGTAATTATATTTTGCGACCAACTAGCGACTGAACTGCAACTAAAATTGTAACCGTTACATTTAAATTTGCAACAGATCACCAACCAATCACTTTCCAAATTTGAGATCGATTTGCAACCGTTTTCCATAATTGCGACAGACACAATTTGCGACAGGCTTTTAGAAGGAAAACACGACGAGAATTAGCAACCGATATTTATAATTTTGCGATCGATTATTCGGTTGCTAATTTGCAACCGCTAAGTAATTCAGTCGTAAAATTATTTGTGACAAGCACTTTTGCGACCGATTAATTTTGGTCGCAAATCGGTCGCTAATTCCATTTAGGGACCGATTTCTCATATTATCGGTCGCAATTTAACAATTTTTTTATAGTGTATATAGACACTAAATTTTATAGTTATATAGTATAAAAATAAGCAAACATGCCTGCGCCTTGCGGCAAACTTATATTGACATATATATTTTTTTATCATAACAATAAGTTTTATATAATTCACATTTAACCACATGGAAGTATATATTGATGATTTAAAGATTAAACTATTTTCTAGATTAAAGTAGCAAGAAGCTTTGAATTATCCTCCATCCTAATTCCTCCGAAAATTTTAGGACGGTAATGAACAGTTGCATTTATTCCTATGGCCTGTTCAAAGCGTTGAACCCTAAAATCACTGACCAACAATATAAAAGTTGTCGAATTATTGAAAAACAAATTCATAAAATCTAAAATTGATCCACCTAATATGAAAAGCAATAAACAACTATTTTAAAAGTTAATCAAAAAGTAAAATACATCTTCTAAGATCAAGTATTATACTTGAGAAAAAGCTGAATCAAAAGATAATATTTCAAGTTTCTTGAAAAGATATTCAACACATTAAAATACAATTTATCAGTCAAAATAAATTTAGCTCCTTGACCATCTGTAACCACTAACAATTTATCGGCCCAAAGAGAAAAATACAAAAACGGCACCGGAGATTTTGTGTTGACATTCTTTTTCATACATTTCTCACAAACTGAACCTATACGGACTCTCTGTAAGCTTAATAACAGTAAACAATAGCACGTATTCAATCAAATAACATGAGTCTAGCCGAAACAAATTCAATTTGATTCACAATAAGCAATTGTTAGCAAGATATAGCATACCTTAGCAGACGTAGCTGAAAACGACACTCATGCCTCTCTCTATTCTTCACTATAAAATAACAATAACTGATTGGTAAGAAACCTGCTGAGAGTTTCAATCAATTGGGAAGAGAAGCTCGAATCGAAATCCTAAAAATGAAAATTTTAACCAATATCTAACTTATATCAAGCATCTCAAGTACATGCATCAAAAAGAACATTAAATATAAACAACGAAAGATTCTATTAACTCGAATAGTATCTTAGAATCCAAATTCTCCCCTTGCCTCCTTCCGTGAACTGAAAATGTGATTTGCAAAGAGAGGAGTTTTCAGAGAGAACGAAAATAGAGAGTGCAGATATTTGATGCAAGGAGGACAAAGGCAAATAAAGAGGAAAATCACCTGAAAGATCCAGAAAATGGAAGTGAAGTTGCTGTATTTGAAGAAATTGAAGTCGGTGTAGAAGGTCGGTCGATAGAAGATCGTGAAATAGAGGGTAGGACAAAATAGGAATAACATAAAAGCAAATGTTTAAATTGTCAAAAGCTTTCTCTGTTAGTACAAAATAGGAATAACATAGGAGGTCGGTTACTGTATTTTTTTTTTTTTTTTCCCTTTCAAAAAATATATATATATATATAATGATCTATCCTGTTAGAAAAGCTTGAACTTTGTGACTTAGTGTAATTCCAAAAGCTTGAACTTTGGGCACGGACATATTCGTTTTATTTTTTAAAACAAAATCATATGTAATTTTAAAATAGGAAATCAGATCCACAGCTTGTGGAAATTCCTACAGCTGGTTGTGAAAATCTCTATCCTTTTTCTTTAAATTTTGCATGCAGTAATTCTCTCAATTGTGATTTTTGCCACGTTATGGTTGTGATTTTCTCTAACCTTCTAAAGCGGACAGGTCTGCGAACTGTCCGATTCGGCCCACGTAGGTTCGCTTTCAAAACGGGCAAAGTAAAAAAACATCTATTTTGAAAATGGTTCTTAATTCTTTGGAAAAAGTACGGACAATCTCGAGCCGTCTACAGGCTTATCTCCATTTTAATAGTACAAGTACATCTTTCTATCCTAATAAATAAAATTTATGAATATTTGATTTTTATATACAAAATATTATTTTGATGTGTATTTAGCATAATTTTTAAATAATAATTTTTACATTTTTCAATATCTAATAGCGCTAAATTGATTTTATTTTATAAATAATTTTATAAACTAAAGTATTTAATACGTGATATTTAGTGTTTAATAAATCCAAGTAAAAATTGAGGATCCAATACCAAAGTTGAATTTAGGATTTACCTTTCTCTTTCAAAATGGATTGGAATTCACGGCGGTTAAACTAGACAGTGCACTGAATACTAATTGATCTTATCCTATAAAAAGCAAAAATGGGGAAAGAAAGAAAAGAAAATGGCAATTAAGCACTGAATTTTTCAGTGCAAAAGAAATTTATTCACATTTTATCACCTAATCAAAATCAAATCACCATCAAATTCCCAAGTCCCAACCATACAAATTCTTGAATTCAAGTTAAAACTGCTATTACCCTATCAAAGCTGTAACCTACACTGCAACAAAAATTCGGAACACTCTATCTTCAAAAACAATAAAAAATAAAAAATAAAAAATCTGAACACTCTTAATATATTGTAACTCCATTTTCGTATATATACTACAGCATAAAAATTAGATAAAGAAAAAAATTACCAATATCTATATTACTATAACATATATGACATCCAAATACAGTCCTAAAACAATTCTCTGTTTTAAACTTAATACAAAGTAAGCTAGCAAGCTATGATACACGGAAACTTCTAGACATGAGCGTTTCTGCGTACCATTCATTATATAAAATACCATTTTTCCATTTAAAATTATATTTTAAATATCATTTACCGGTATCATTTCCGCTTTTCCATGTTTCCTCATTTCTGTTTCCGTGCAACATAGCTGGCAAGACTTGCCAGATTGAGCAAACATCATGTTCTTTCAGCTGAAGCAAGGTGCTCCATATGTTTAGTGAGGTCATTTATGCTGTTTGCATTCCACCAAGGTCTTTCATTACTTGTTCTATCATCACTACTCCCTGGCTCAGGCTGATGTTCAAGTTCTTGTGTGTTAGAAGAGCCAGGAGCCTCAGTCAAGAAATACTCCCAAAAATGATCATTTGCTCCTGGCTGTGCACTAGTATTTGCTATCTCTACTGCTGGTTCTTTCACGGCCTCCTCTTCGATCACAGCAGCACTAGCAGCCTTGCAATCCTCTTCATAGGTAGCAAAACAAGGTTGAACGTTCGAGTCATCAAGATTAGTAATACATGCTGGTAGCTCAGGAGATGAAGCTATGTCCATAGAATTGAGTGAGCAAGTTTCACAATCTAAGGAAGATGCACTTAACTCTCTAACAATGACTGAACTAGGCTGCGAAGCTGAGCCAAAATTGCCCATATCTTCACCTAAAGTTTCCCTGACTCCATAAAGAAAATTTTCAAAACATTTTATAGATGAATCCAATTGCTCAACTAACTCAAAGTTCAAGGTTGATGCAGGGGACCCGTTTGTGTCTTCTTTTGGGAAACTCAAATTCTGATTCTCTTCAATGTTGTATTCGTCATTGAAGTGATCAAATTCTAATAATCTCCTCTTCTTGTTATTGTATTCTGATTGCTGCACAATAATAGAGGCAAAATCTGGTTTCTTAGCTAGTTGAGTCAAAAAAGAGATTACTTGAATCTGTCTTTTCTCCATACTCTGCAACCTCTCACACAATGACATAATTTGACACTCGTAGGCCTGCTTTTCTGTTTCATTTCTCTTTAACTCTAGCTGAAGCAAGCTCTTATCGTGCTTTAGTTTCTTGATTTTCTCCTCAAATTCCCTTTTCTCTGTAACAGTCAGTGAAGTGACATTGTTTTGATTCTGCAAAGAATGGCTATGAATCGGCTTGCGTCTTCGAATGTTACTTAGAAGATGTCTTTGCCCTCTTATAAACTCTTCATTAGCAAATTCCCATTGATCAGGATCAATCTTTCTGAAGCCCTATGAGCAGAAAACAAGCTTCATTTTCAGTAAACAAAATTCAACTTATTAATAAAATTGACAGCATAATATGTCCCAACACTACGAGACAGGTACTCGATTATTAACCTACTACTTCGATGACCAAAGTTAGGAGACATATACTCAACCGTTCAATAAATTTGCTACAAATCCGATCACTATGATGGCTATTAGACATATAATCGATCATTTAATTAGTAATATGATAATAAATTCTACTAGATAGGTACTCGATTATTATGCTACCTAATACTATGACACACGTAGTCATCAATCAAGCTAGTACTGAAATAACAATTGTTATGTTACTCATCTAATGATATATTCAATCTCATGCTAAAAGTGGAAGTAAGAAAGAAAGCAACTTTTACTCTAAAAACTGAGCAACTTCAAATTAAATAAATCAGAACAAGACAAAACTAGAGAAGCCAACTTACATAGGTATTAAGCTGCCTAACAAAGCTTGAAAAATTATTGTGTTTGAAGTACTTTGGAAGCAAATCTTGAGCAAACTCAGGCGGGTTCCATACAACAAAACTGCAGCCACTATGACTCCAAGATACAATTGAGTTGGTCAACGGATCATCTACCATCTCATATGTTTTGATCAGAAAAGGTGCTGGTGCACTCGAACTACTACCATGTGAAATATCCATAACTTGTTATATCTAAAAACAAAGTAAGCTCTCTATTTCTAATGGAAGGCTAAATCATAAGCTATATGTACCCAAATGAAAAACCCACAACTTGGAAGTAGTACTATCATTCAAAAACAATCTTGGATGAGAAATGATAACTGGGCTTTGATCGATGAATGGACTCTGATTGAAAGAAACTGAAACTTAATGGCAATTACAAGTCAAGATCAAGAACTGAGAGAGTACTTGTACGGGATGCACTTTTCCAAGACCAATGAAATTGCAGAACTTGGAGAAAAAGCCAGAGAATCGTATGAAAGATAGAAAATTAAAGCTTTTGACTCTGTAAACGATAAGGCCTTCAAATTTGAAATATTGAGACGAAGGGACCAGAAGCTAAATTTTCAACACAACCAACAAAAAGGAAAAGAAAAAGGATGCATTGGACACAGGCCAAAATAACTTCAATAAGATAATAAATCTGTATGAACTGAACTTTCTTTTGATTTTTCAAATGAATTTCATAATTCATATACCCTTTTCTCTTTAGAATACAAATTACAGGTGCTCATATGATTGATTATTATATATAAAAAAAATGGAGAAGCAGTCGTGGGTTTAGGAGTAGACCGAAGTAGGTGTTCTTTGTTTGTATTGAGGGAAAGCGGTGGTAAAGCTTTGACTGCAGGCTGCAGCCATAAACCCTTTTTTCCAACTTTCAAACTTTCAAAACAATGGAGAGAAGACTAGTCAATGTATTAATTATTTATTTATTTTTTTAATCCTTTCAATTTGGTAAAAAGTCAACAAGTCTAAAAGACCTTATCTTTCTCCACCATCCCGCTCGGTTCTCTTGTGATGGCGGTCCTTATTAATGGGTTTCACAATAAAACTATTTTGTTACCAAAAAAAAAAAAAAAAAAAAAAAAAAAAAAAAATCAGTATTTTTGAAAAAAAAAAAAAAAAAAAATCTATGTATTTTTGACTTATTAGTCCTGCCATGTATATGCAATATTAATATCTATTTTTTTATTTTTTTCATTGCAATCAAAATCTATGGGTTTCATTTTGATTGGATTTCTTTTTTTTTTTTGAAAAATTGGGTATTTTGATTTTATGAGTTCAAATTGAATCTATTCGAACGTTGACTTCAAACTCTTGTGATTTCATTTTTATTTATTCCAATTAGATTGTATTTATTTTTTTGAATATGTTATATCTATTTTTTTTTTTAAAGAATAACATTCAATATTTATACGGAACCATACAATGCTACACACACATCATGACACAAACATACATATTTAGTGAATTTTTTATAAACATTCAAGGGTTTTAATTGAAAATCTAATCAAATTGATTTAGTTTATTTTTAATTTGATTCTTCAAACTAATAGGTTCGATTTAATTTTTGAATTTAAATATCAATTTTTAAATTTTGGTTCAGTGTAAAAATAAGTTTAAATCTACTAAAAATAGAAAAATAAAGCCGAATGGATCATTTCAATCCTAAACTGAAATTGGTTTGATTCAATTTAATGGGATGGCTATAAATTGTATTTGAAATTAATTAAATTCAATTTTAAAATATTATTTTAATGCAAAGTGTAAGTTTTTACTAATCATCTATATCAAAACATTGACTTGCATTTCTTTCAACATTAGTTGCATTTATTTTGAAAGTTCCTTCTACGTTTATATCATATTATAATCTAACAAAAAAAAAAAAAAGAACCTTTTGAATGTGTGAAACCCCTTGAAAACATGAAGATAAGGAACACATTGACACGAAGTGCTTTACTTATATAAGCTATATACTCTTTGCTTTATTATATGTCAATAGTTTCTTTGTCAATATGATTATAAGTTAGGTTAGAAAATTTATAATATATATATTTATATATATATTTATATATATATATTAATAATATTTAATAAAAGAGATTTTATAAATTTTGTCAAAAAATTTTATAGATTCAAAATTCTCTCGATATATTAAATAAAAGAGATTTTATAAATTTTGTCAAATTTTATAGGATTCAAAATTCTCGAACCTAACTTATCATCATATTGACAAAGAAACTATTGACATATAATAAAGCAAAGGGTATATAGCTTATATAAGTAAAACACTTCATGTAAATGCTAAATGATACTCACTTTGTCCCATTTTATTTGCATGGTTTGAAAAAATACGCATACTAAAAATTTAGTCAATAAATATTATTTTACCCTTAACTCATTAAGATATTAATAGAACACAATATTTAATTAATAATTATAAAGATTATTATGAGAAAAATAATTGTTTGGATATACAAATTTAAAAACCTTATAAACATTTTGAAACATAAAAAAAAACAAACAAGATGAGTGTGGAGGAAATACAAGTTATGCTGACACAATTTTCACTGTCGCAGAGCAAAATATCCATAATGCCCTAAACAGGTTTAACGCTGGGAATTTTTTGCCAATAATATACACATGACATTTTAGATATTTTCATCCACTACGGTGAAATTATGTCAGGCTCAAATTGCGTCAAATATATATATATTTATATTGTGTGTATGTATGTAGATTAAATTCATAAATTTGAAAAATACTTTTGCAAATATAAAAGCTCAAAGGACTTAAGTGATATTCTCTACAATTATTCGCTTTTTATTTTCCATCATACGTGGTTCGAGCCATTTTCTTCTGTCAACTCATTCTAGAAGCTCAAGCTGGCTTTACCTTTTATAAGTTACATATAAAACCATGTATTATCCTCTATTAGATCAATTTATAACCATTTTAGGTCAAATTGTTTTTAGCACATACTTATTTTTTAATTAGAATTTTTTTTCATACATAAGAAGCCCAATAGACCAAAATAATATTATAAATTACACAATAAATTCAAATTGATGATAATTTTCTTGATAGAGAGAACTCGAACTTGCAGAAAAAACCTTCGTGAAAATATCCACTAGTTGATATGATGATGAGACAAGAACAAACTAAAGAGTGTATGAGTAACATAATAGTCAATCATAATGTCTTTAATCCATGAAAGACTTTATTATGAATAATTTGAATAGCACTCTAACTGTTTATTTGAAGGTAGTTGCAGTAATGCTAGAAATGACAACAGATCTATACTATATATAAAAGTGAAAATGTGAGGGATAATGAGATTCTCTATATCACTCTTAATGAAATTTAAAATATTTTAAAATACCTTTAATGATGGTCAATTAAAAAATTACAGTTTATTAATTGATTAGATATAATTTATAAAATTTATTTTTTCAGCCCATCATTTGCAACCTAATTATCTTTTTACTTATATGATGAGTGAGAGGTTTCAAGTTCGAATCCTCTCGACCAAGTGTTTTCACCTATTTGATTATTATATAACCCACAGTGTTATTGCAGTCCATCAAGACTTCTAATGAATAAAAAAATTATTTTTTAAATAGATACATATAAATAATTAAGCATTTCAAAATTTTAAGTTCTATCTTTTTTTAATACATTGGAAGCTTTTATGAGCCGAAATAACACTGTGGACTATACTATAAGAGGCAGTTGGAGACAAAAACTGTGATCAAGAGAACTCAAACTCAAGACCTCTCACTCCTCACATATATCTATGTACATTGAAATGTTTTTTTCTGTTGGGTGATTTATCAATTTGATCGTTGTGGAGCCCGCAGTATTATTTGGGCTATCAGACATCCTAATGTATTGAAAAAAATAATTTTTTAAATAAATACATATATATAATTAATCATTTCAAAATTTTAATTTTTATATTTACTTTATTTGGGCTATCAACATCCTAATGTATTGAGAAAAAATAATTTTTTAAATAAATACATATATATAATTAATCATTTTCAAAATTTAAATTTTATATTTACTAAATTTATTTTAATGAATATATAATACGATAATGTGAGACATTTGAAAAATTTTTTATATTTCATTTTATTAAAATATTTAATTCCTATTAAAGATAAAGATAAAAAAAAGAAAATAGTACTTTTTTTATTAAATATTCTTTTTTCTTTTATTTTGTATGGATATGATTGGATATATTTTTAGAAAAATAAAATTTCAAATAGAAAATATATATAATATAAAATTTATTTAAGAGAGAGAATAAAAAAGAAGAAAAAGTATAATTATTTTTATTAATGTTTTTTGGTACTTTATCTTGTTATATTTTGAAATTTGTGGAGTAATATTTTTAAAGAAAGTAAATTCCCAATAGAATTTTACAAATTAAAATGTGTTACTGTATATATACAATTGAAATTTAAATTTAAAAATATATATATAATATTTAATTGAATATATTTATATATCTATATATATCTATATATATTGAAACGTTTTTTTTGTTAGGTGAGTTTTGAAAAAGTTTTATTCTTAGTAATAATTTTTTATTTTCTTTTTCGTTATTGAATAATTTGTAACTACTATCATTTAATTTAGTAAGAGATTTATATCTCTCTTGCAATAAATAGATGACATATAGATGGTTAAGCATTTTTAATTTTCTTGATATTTTTTTCTTTATATCTTAAATCTGTTTTACTTAAAAGAAAATAGTATATAAGAAAGTAGGAAAAAAGAATTAGAACAATATATTTCTGTTTTGGTCACTTTTTGGGTTTCAAGAATTTGTATGTATATGCATATATTTTTTTTCTGATACACTAGATAAATAATACTGCCACTGTGGTTAAATTGATTTCCATTATCAATTCAGATCTTCTTCTCATTTTTTTTTTCTTTGATCTAATAGTAAAAGTAATTTATTATTATTCTTCATTATAGTTGTATATAGATATTGATTTGGGGTTGAGAGCAAGGGGTTGGAAATTGAGTGATGACTTGATTTTCTTTTTGAGCAACTATTAGGATTTTAAAAATCTGCATTTATTAATTATGGATTAAAGAATTAGGTCAAAGGATTGGGTTGAACTTTATTCTAAGATCACTTCATTATATAAAAATAGAATTAAGTACATAATAAGTAACATTGCAAGTAATTTATACGGCAAAGTATAATACAAATTAATTACTTGTATTTATTTTAATTTATTAATTCATGGATTTAAAGAATTAGTCAAAGGATTGGGGTTGAACTTTTATTCTAAAGACACTTCCATTATATAAAATAGAATTAAGTACATAATAAGTAACATTGCAAGTAATTTATACGGCAAAGTAATAATTACAAATTAAATTACTTGTATTTATTTTAATTAAATATAATATATATATATAATATATAATATATATAAAATAAGTACTTAACAAGTAAAAAAAAATAAGTATATAACAAGTATAGTCAATGTGCAACGCACGTCATACAAAAGACTAGTATATATAAAAAAAAGAAAAAAGAAAAACAAAAACGGACAGTAAAAGTGACAGACTGTCTATGTAAAAAAATATATATCAATCTATGTAAAACGGACAATCCTCGTGTCCCTATGACGTGACCCGCTCGGGCCTCGATAAAAAACAGACCGAGTCAAAAAACCCATTTTAAAAACGAATTTCAATTATTTTGTTCAAATTCGCAAAAATTACGGACGATCTAGCCCCCGCGAGTTTAAGCCCATTTTCACAGTACTAGGGGTAGATAGTAAAAAATAATATCTATATCCTTGAGCAACCAACACGTT